AGTAGCCCATGGCGTTCTGCGTGAACTAGCCCGACCCGTTGTGACTGAAGCAGAGCTCAGTCTGAACACTAAGGTCCCAATATTCAAGTCGATCTTTATCCGCATTCTTACCTTTGGTCATGAACCGTGAACCATCACTGAAAAACTTGGAATCCGAGTACAAGGTACTGAAATGGGCCCTTTTAGGCGAGTCGCTGGCCTTACGCGTCTCGACATGGTCCGGAATAGTGACATCCGGAAGAGCCTTGGAATACAGCTTTCGCTTCTCCAGACTGAGAAGTCGCAGCTGCAGTGGTTTGGGCATGTGTTGCTAGTGCATTATGAAAGGGAGGCTAAGCAACTGTTCCTTGCAAATCCGACCGGTAGAAGGCCCAGGGGACGACCAAGATTAACCTGGTGTAAACATATGGAAGGAATCTCTTCCAGACTCCATTTGTCTTTTGCCGAAGCTCAGACTCTGGCACAGGATCGGGAACGTTGGAAGCTGTCTGGCGCGTGTGCATCTGCGATGGGAAAAGAGAAGCGGCGCTGGAAGATGAAGAGAGAATAACGGTTGAACGGCTGGAGTACGAACATGATTATAGTTGCGCGACGATTTTGTTCTTTGCTGATTTATTATTTAATAAACAGTTTAACTTAAAGCAGCTTAATCAAGAGACAGGCAGTGAACAAATTAAATGCGAATATATCGGATAACGTGACGGTCATTTCACGACGCAAGAAGTCTCGTGATTTATTGCAACATTGACGGTTTTCACCTATAGAAAAAGTCATTTAATGGGCCGTTACCCGTTTCGCAGCTGGCCTCAAACTCAGAAACGATAAAATCAACTTAAAAACTGTTAAGTTGTAAAAACATCGAACACATCAAGTATTCGCGTTAGAGACATGCTGATATGTAAAAGGATCAGGAGCATCAATAGAGAGACTTTTCACAAAGCGACGTTACATGTCCATATCCATCGATTCTTCATGGTCTCTTTCAGTACTTACGGCAAAGTCAGCGATCGACGAAAGAGGCGTTACATTAAAATTGGCGGCATCTGGAGACCGCTCATTACGCGGTTCATCGTTGGCAGAAACCAAGGGAGGTTTCTGTGCCAATTGGTAACAAAATTGGGGAAGCATCGGATGACGAGATGACTTAGGCAAGTTCGTGCCTCTTTTCTGATGAGACAGATGGATCCTCTGTTTTTGATATGAAGTACTGTCATCGTAAGACCTGCACTCAGATGAAGTGTACTGCTGAAACGTGCCAGAGAATACCATGACATTTCCTGTGTCCGCTTCACTTGTGACCGTGTTAAATTGAGGAGCGATAACGTGATCATGTAGCTTAGAGTTATCGGGCAGGCTGACATGCTTTGGGAACAATTGGCGACGGCGTACTACAAAGGTGGAATGTCTGCTGCTTCTGCAATACAGCTCCGAACTGCCGTTGTCTCGCATCGCCTCAGGAAACTCGCTTTTTCGGTGTCCGTGGAACTGCTTGAAAGAGCAACTTGCTTCTTTATTCAGATCAGTGACACCTCTAGCTTTCATTGAACGATGTAAATTCGTAGGAAACAACAAATTTTCTCTGTCGAACATTTTTGTATCTGATGCGTGGAACTCCTTTTGAAGAAATTGTTGACCAGTGGTCAAGAAGGTGGTGCTGTTAGTCGCCGAGATATCTGGAAACGGCTGAGGAATGCACAATGACACAAACGACAGATCGTCGCGAAGATCAGATTTAGTAGATGCAACCAACGCTGCTGCAACTGTATTGCTTGAGACAATTTCAGATTCACCTTGAAATTCATAACTTTCGAATGGCCAGTCGGTGACACTGCCACTCGACGAATGGCTGCACGTTACGTCGCCTGATGGTAAGTAGTAGTTGCTTACATTTGTGGACACGGCACAGTCTGATGGTAGCGATCCACTGTCGAACTCGAAACTTTCGTTAATCGATGAGGAACACGGACTAAAGCCGGCATAGCGACCACAAGGACCGCATGTTTCGACTGAACTAGTTCGGCTGTCGCTGCTGGTGCTTCCCGAACTGCTGGTGCTTGGCGATTGAAATAAATGAGGGCTGCGGCCGCTTATCGACCATACAGTTCCACAGTCAACTGTCTGATTGAATGCGGGGTTCAAGCGCACTTCTTCCATCGTGAGTGGTGGTCGCCCAGGCGAATCACCCGCAGAATGCACAAAGCGGGACTCTCTGCATACCACGTTGCGAGTTCGACAACGCTCCAAAAGCATAAGGTAAATGGCCGTAAAATTATCGAACGATTCGGTCTGCAGAGACTAAAACAGCGATCAATATAACCTAAAATTAAGTACAACAGATACAGCAGCGAAAGACTAACAGAACGTCGAAAAAAAACTCTCCATTCATCATGCCGATTTTATCTGACTAACGGTATTTTTGAAAAATACTTCCATATCATAACATATTCTGAAAAATCAGTAACACCTAGACATCTTCAACTACCAAATTAACCAAAATTTTTGCATGGTGAATGAGCAATGTTCTATTTAAAATTAACGCTCAACAAACATAAGCACAATTCTAGAAGGCGGACAACATCATACAATCATGCCTTCTTCAGAGATACACAGACTCAGACGGTGGCCCTTTCTTTTTACACACGAAGTCACAGCATCCTTCTCTTAATAAGGCGAGATCTGCTTTTCAAAGATTAGTGCAGATTTGTTTCAGGACGGTTGACGGGATCTCAATACTATTTGAGTTTCTGTAGAGGTGGCAGTCCGTTTTAACATCATGAGCCGTCAGCAGTTGGAGAAAATATGGAATCTGTGCTGGTCGCGTTCTAGAATTTCTGTTCCGCAACCGTGACCAAACTTCATCTTTTTTCTAGCACTGTGCAACGCTGACGCATCCGATTGACTTCTTGTTCGAGATTGATCGTTAAACAATTAGTTTAGAAATCCCATGGAAAATCACGAAAAGTGAGCAACACATAGTGCATATTTTGCATTTTGGGAGACGATGAACGATCCAAATTTACTACTGCGACTCAGTGAGGGTCATTTGAGTGGATCACTATTAAGTGTCGATGCAGAAAGATGAGTATCTGCTTCGGAAGCACAGGAAATGAACTTTCGGCCCCTGCCATTAAACCTTATTCTTCACTTCTCCGTCGAAACAGCGCTGACTTGAACAAGGACTAAGGCATGATCAAATCAGGGGGAAGAGCTATTCGATGAGATGCAATGATGATTTGAAGTACGCAGGTATTTGATATTGTCGTTCGTGAAGCAAGCTTCATCAATATCCGACGACATTGGCGTGCAACGAATTTGCGAGCTGGTCACTTTCTTAACAACCTGAGGTAATGCTACGGCTTTCACACTGACACTGTGACGAAAGACCTGCGATTGAGCAGCAAACAGCAGCATTGGCTTGAATGTATAAAAATTTATAAACGACATCAGTTTCTTCTGAGCATCGATGTTATCAGTAGATATGCAAATTAGAAATTTAACAATAATAGAGTTGACCCTGTTAAACCAACAGATTGAGTACAAAATTATTTCTTCACCAAATAAGCTTATTCATGGAAACCGCAACATGAAAGACATCAACCAAGAAGCCAGCATGCAATATTAATCAGTAAGGTAAAAGTAGATCTGCATTCAGTGAAGAAATTTTTTTTTTAATGAACAGTTATTGGTGTCGTTGAACAGCTGAGAATTCAACGGACTTCAAAAAAGCGTAGAAATTCGACGAGTACAAACGACTGAAAGAGATGAACACAACGGCAAAAACGCATGCAAGGAAATGAATGTCATTTATCACCCATGTTTAATTAAAATCAGGTGAAAACAAGCATGAAGCATAATATATACAAACTTGAAACCAACACAAGACAGGTATCCGGAGTCAACATACACATAACGTTTTCAATTGTTCACTTTCGTTGTTCAGAAACCAGTTGGAACAGCATTACATAATGGAGAATTGACAATAATCAAAAAAGGCGCGCACATATCAGATAAAAGCGGGAATTAATAACGGAATACTCTGAAAATCAAAAAAGTGGTATGTCGGGACAATTTTATAAAATATTTTCATCAAAGCAAGTTTGACGATCTTAAAACACCATTCTTTGTCTGTATCATTCACAGAGGAGCCAATTAATGCATGGCTCAATTTTAATCAACATAATTTGTGGAATCACGGCTCTAATGCCTATGATTACTATCTTAATGTGGATTCAATATTTTGATGGCCTATATGAATACCGACCCGTGAAGAAGCATGATCTACGATTAAAATAGTCTAAGCACATAATCATGTATGACACGCCAATGCGCCGCAAGAGTTAAAATACCATGACAACTACTCAAATGGTTTCGTATGCAACTACTAATAAGGGGACATGGCCAAAACGCCGTGAAAATTGTTTTGATGAATATTCTTATTCCGTTTATATAAAAATTGATAAACATTCATTCAGGTTGGAGGATAAGATGCTTTATTTTTAAATTTACTGGTTAACTTCACATATGAAACTACTAACGCAAGAAGCTGATATTTACAGTATGCCTCACTGTGTCATTGTGACCCGACGGGGAGTCGCGCACGCTTCGAAAAATCCTCGCTAGTAAACCGAATTGAAAATGACTATAAATATGATCAATTAAATACATCGCGCAAACAATTGGTCTCTGGGATGACAGGCTCGTTGAGAGATCTTCTGATTCCTTAGTTCGCAGCTGAAAATTAAACCGATCTTCATATAATACAATCCATTTCGTGAGAACTAGCATCCCTTAGTAAAAAATGATTTTTCAATGATAAATCATCTTGCAATGCCATACGTTGAGAAATATGATATATCAGCTCAAAATTCCCACAATTCGGAGCCAGCACAATCTTAAAATTATTTGTGGATGATGAACTAGTAAAATCGCCATATCGTGACTTTTTTCATGGTAAAATTGAAGGGGCTGGGTTGCTATGGAC